AAATATCGGTCAAATGCCCCACTATTTTGCAATAAATTATATAAATAAACTATATTAATAAAGGTTAATTGGTTCAAATTGCCCCAACTTGGGGCCAAAATGCTGATCAAAATCCCCAGGGTGGGGATGCAATTGATGATCAAATACCCCACATATGCCCGACCCCCCCCCCCTCTGGGGGTTAACATTGATAGGTGCATTAAACTTGCCAACCACACAACGAGACTGATTCGGGAAGAAACCGGAAGTTATGCACTCAAACGAATCATACGTCACAAAACGTCATCAATCCATTGTTCTAAAATCTCGATTTTTTCTCCCTGTCTCCTCCATAGAGATTATAAATAACACTAGAGGAGGCATCGAGTTTAAAAATTGGGAACGCAGCTAATGGGGGGCAAATTCAAGTCCCGGATATAAAATCGTGCTCTCATTGGCTGATTTGAAACTCGTCACCAATAGGAACACGAATACACATCCGGGACTTGAATTTGCCCCCCAATAGTCGCGTTCCCTTTTTTTTACTGAATTAAGATTACAATGCCTCCTCTAGTGTTATTTATAATCTCTATGGTCTCCTCCACATAACTCGCGGAAAGCCTGGGACCGACAGAATTAGTATGCTGCCTCTACGAGGCAGCAATAAAAACTTCCCAAGGCAGCAAAACTGGTAAGTTTAATCGTGCATAATACTGATGTCATAAACATAATGTGTACTGCACGAAATCTTTGCTGCAAATCCAATAATAATATATTACATCGAAAGCTATTAATAGTTTCATAGGGTATTTATCCCACACCGCGGGAAATCTAAAAATATTCTCCTGAATATATATAATATAATCTATACCTAATTTAGAAAAATAAAATATTTTCGAAAAATTTAAAACATAGTTAAACCTTAAGTTATTAAAGACTATTCAGTAATACTACAATATTCACAAAAATTTAAATGATTATAGTCGAACCTACTATAGGTACAGAATCATTGTCAGATCAAGTCAGTGATGTACAATTGGATATATTTATATAATTATATGAATGCTCTTTATATATTTGTTAATTATATTTATTTGTCACTCGATGCCAATTGTGAATTGGCCTGAAGATGATTCGCTAATAGGATTGGAAGATACAATTTATGGTTGACTGAGGTATATCCATTTTGATATGCATACCGATTTGAACTCTACATATTACCTAAGTTTCTGGTAAAATGTTTAAGTCCGGAGACGGAGCAACACGGTCCTCAGTTCCTGGTTTGCAAAACTGTCTAATTTCCTTAAAAAGGTATTTCTGCCTCTCTGCATCTAAACCATTTGGCATGAACTTTGCCGGAAGATCAGACGGCGGCAAAATGGTCGCCTTTTTCAATAAGTTCATTTTTTGTTCCTCTGAAGTTACGAAGGCTTTGTAATAAACAATTCCCGGTTCGTCTAAGGCAAAACGAAAATGATGGAATTTTGTGATGTTGTGAAGCTTTCTGAAGTATTGACCAAGAAATGCAGACCAATCGTAAACAGGAACAATGACTTTACCATCGTGTGTTCCCACAAGCTGGGCTTTATTGAAGCCGATGGAACTTGATGTTTCTACGACTGACCCTAATTCGTATAAGGACGAAACATAGGTAGCTTTAAATGCTTTCTTTAACAAGCCAAAACCACGATCTGGGCCAAATTTAGTGTGACCCGCTAGGAGAAATGAATATATAATTGTTCTATGAAGATGATTTGCAACTCTCCAAGACAAATACCGCAAAAAGAAATTGTTCTTGTTTTGCCCACCGCAGTTGTCTGCGTGAAAATGCACATCAGTTTCGCCAAAGCCATGATGCTCTAAGAAATAGTGCAAGTAACTAATGGTTGAATTGGCTCCTTTTCCAACTGATACAGCTTCATCTATCAAGAAGTTTACTTGCCGGGGAACAGCTTCAGGCGGGTTAAATGATATGAGAGTTTGACGGGAGTAAGATATATAGTCATGATGGCGGATGGTCATGCTAAGGTTAGCTCCATAGATATTCCCAATACTAAATTTAATGTTGGAAATGTGAATTTGGACGATATTCGAACGTATAAAAACAACAACACTCTTGTCTATGATGGGAAACGTTTAAAGTGGAACGGCAACTATGATGAACTGGAGAGTTTTATTCAAAATACCGTTGGTTTGAGCGGTAAATGGATTTCACCTGGCGGGAACTCTAAGAAGTTTATAAGCAACTCAGATCTGACAATAACTTGGTATCGCGGCAAATAACGAACATTAGTTGTCCAAGGTAGCGAAGGGGAGTCTTTAAAGAAATTACTGGTAAGCCTAAATAGTGAACTTATGTTGCCCCAACAGAGTGACACAGGCGTACAGTCTGCCGAAGTCTCAGTAATAACCGGCACCGGTGATAGAAGCGAAGTAAGCAACCTAACAACCGAGAATAATGATTATCGAGCCGAGATTCCTGTCGCCAAAATAGATATAATATCACCTATTGATAATTCGTCGCTTGTGGAGCTTGAGAATTTTATTGACGATTCATTTTGTAATATTATGAACTCCCGACACAGTGAAGTAACGAAGGGTACTGTGGAACAAGTATTTGTAAATTCTACCCCCTTTAAACAACGCGAGAGCGACAACGCCACTACAAAAAATGCATTATTTGACAATTTTAAAGAGAAGGTTGAATATGAAATATCAAATTTATTGGCTAAACTCACCAAGCAAGACGAAACTATCAACATAAATAAGCAAGATATATGCAAATTGCGTGAAGAAAATTTGCATCTCAAATCACGTATCTCCAAATTAGAAGAAAAGATGGCCTCGGCCTCCATAGAAAAATTCCCTGGTGCTATTGAAATATCTTCTGTCACACCTACAACGCAGTACGTCCCCATAAGCACTAAGAAAAAGGCCAACGAAGACCGAATACCGGAAAGTAATGTGCCTAATATGCAGTCCAATCCAGAAGTTAGTGTACCTACTTATGAAAATTTGACCTTGCAACCGCGAACCCAGCAGACAAATAAGAATCGTTACGACCGCCCACCAAAGAATTCCACTCCTTGTCCATTTCTTCTGCGTCGAGGTTGGTGTCGAAAGGGAGACCGATGCGACTTTCAGCATCTTAAACCATCTCACAATACACATAAACATAATGTCCCCTGTCCTTTTTTGCAGAACAGAGGCTTCTGTCTGAAAGACGATCGATGTGATTTCTCCCACGCTTGGGTACCAACCAGAAGGTCGGTATTAAAAACCACTACTAGTAGCCATTTGCCACCTGCCTCTTTTTTATCCCGAGCGCAAGTGCCATTGCCACCAACAGTGGCGTAGCTGGCTCAAAATAATCGTCCCGCCGAAGTTTCAATACATCTCCATTTAAACAGGAATATTTTGCCTTGCTAAGGAACCCCATAGCCCGATGCACTTGCAAATCACGCTACACGGGTAATTTGACCTTTAGAATCGATTTCCGACGTTTCCCGAGTGCTAGCATTGTTTTGGATATTTGAACTTGAACCTCCGGTCAAAGCTCTGTCGTAAAATTTAGATATTTTGAAATACCGAAATAAAAGATGCAAATCTGCAGATACAAGCTTGAACATAACACTCTAAATAGTCTGTTAGATTGTGATTCGAACAAGACTAATACCAAAATGAAACGTTGAAAGAAAGGTTCGGCAAGTTATATAATTTCGGCGAAAGGTATACATGGCTTATTAAATAGTGATACATTGTTTACATCGGTTCGAGTATATATTGTATATAGGTATGGTTAGTTTACATTGTTCGAGTTTGGCTAGTTTATAATTTATGACTATTTTACATTGTTCAATTACATAGTATCTTTCAAGCGTAATTTTTTGGTGGTATTTTCGTATTTCTACTGCAAATACTCGCGGAGTTCTTTAATATATGGAATTGAGTTGACAACCTCCGCCTTTATAAAATAGCGGGACTTCGGCATTAAAAACAGCCGTTCTGAGCATGCGCTACGCCAATTATCCAATCAGAAACCAGAATTTCTTGTATAAAATAGTATTGCATATCCCGCCATATGAAAATCAGCGGAACACGAGACATGCGATTCACGAATTGCGTGAGTAAGCAATAATTGCGTGAAAATTAGCTAATTTGGGGTTTCAGAGGTCAAAGAGCAGACAGCAACATTGCGTAAACTTTAAATAAATAAATGAAAGCACTGAAAAATTATCATAATTATATAAATTTTCAAATTAAGAAAAGCTGTTAATTTGGCTTCACTATAAAGCATTTCCTCATTTTTTTTATGAAATTTCTAGTCCCGCCAGGCGGGACAGCGGGACCGCTAGCTACGCCACTGGCCACCAAACGTCCACACAGCCCAACCTCAGCAGCTCCAAACGTACAGCCTACACCCATGGCGACCCCCATCTTATTCAAGGCCGTTAATGGAAATCCCACTACCCTCGTCCAGTTTTCCCCGATTATCCTCCCAGATCCACCAAAACAGATTTTACTAAATCCTCATAAACAGAGCTCCACTCCATGTATTTCCCTTGAGCCCTCTCCCACATGCATTCCTATGCTTTTCCCGATCAGCGATCTACCAGAATCGACCCCATCACGATACTCCTATTCAGTACAAAAAACTAATACACTTGAACGCTTAAAATTTGAGTCTACGTTACCCTCCACCAAAATACCAAACCTTTTAATTTGTAATCTCCGCTCCCTGACGTCCAAGGTCGACGAACTTGACGCTGTGGTGTCTTTTAACCAAACGGACATGGTCTGCATTACAGAGACTTGGTTATCTCCTGCAATTCCTGACAACTTGGAATCCTTGTCCAATTTCAATCTGTTTAGGAACGATAGACTGGTTTCAAACGGCGGAGGTGTTTGTGCCTACATAAATAGCAATATCTATTGTAGACGAATTGAGGAATTTGAAAACTCTTCGATTGAATCACTGTGGTTATCAGTGAGACCAAAGAAGCTCCCCCGCTCTGTCTCGGTTATCTTACTGGCTGTTGTTTACCATTCAACAGCATCCCGCCAAACTGAAAATGTAGAATTGTATTCACACATTCAAACCAATGTGGACTCATTTTTATATTCCCACCCTGAAGCTTTGGTCCTAATTACGGGCGACTTCAATTTTAGAAGCACGGGTGTCGATGCAAACCATCTTAAAAGAATTGCTGGTCTGACGCAGATAGTCAAGGTAGCTACCAGAGCTGATGTAACTTTAGACTGGTGTTTAACCAACTCAAAGGTGGATAATATTTACGAATCAATCCAACTTCCTCCCATTGGAACCAGTGATCATTATACGATTCTTATGAAAGCCCAACCTTCTCCCTCAAAGCCAGACAATTCACATATATGGAAACGCGATCTCAGAGATAGCAGGATGCGGCCTTTTGGACGATATATCACTACATTTGACTGGTCTCCTATCTTGGACATACATGACTGTGATACAAAATATGAAAAGTTTAACGATACAATGACTGTGATGATTGAAAAATTCTTTCCCTTGGAACGGATTAAAGTACGAAAGTGTGATAAGCCTTGGATGACGTCATCAATAAAGTCTGCTATTGGGAGACGCCAAAAAGCCTTACACGAAAGCGAGAAAAATTCAGATATTTATAAATATTGGCGTAACAGAGTCCAATCATGCATTAAAGTTGCACGAAAGATCTACTATATGAGGTCAGTTGAGAAATTAAAAAATTCTAACCCGGCAAGATGGTGGAAAGAAGTGAAAGCCATTGGTGGTCTCTCGTCAAAAAATTCTTGGTATTCTCAGCTATTTTCTGATGATGTTCGGAATTGCGAAGAACTGGCCGAAAATTTTAATAACTTTCTTACTGCCCTTACATCACATTTTGACCCTCTAACTCTCGACGAAATCCAGGAGGGCCTAGAAGTACCAAACCATTACCTCGTTGACGCCCAACAGATCTATATGAAACTTAGTAAAATTAAAACCACAAAATCACCGGATCCTGACATGTTTCCAAATAAAATCCTGAAAACATTTGCCTTTGAGCTTGCCCCAGTTATCTCAGACATTTTCAACTCATCCATGACACAAGGCACCTTCCCAAAGGCATTGAAGAGATCTATTGTAGTGCCTGTCCCTAAGGTATCACCCCCAAAGAGTATTGAAGACGACCTACGACCAATATCTTTAACATCTCAGATCGCCAAAGTTATGGAGGATTGTACTTTGGACAATTTTTTTTCCTGAAGTTGTAAATAAACTTGACACCAAACAATTTGCACTCCCAAAGAAATCAACGACCCACGCTTTGGTCTACCTTTTACATTCAATCTTGGTTGCTCTTGAGAGAGGTTCCTGTACTGCCAGATTGTTCTTTGCAGATTTCAAGAAAGGTTTTGACCTAGTAGACCACAATGTTATTATTAAAGAATTAACCCTGCTTGGTACCCATCCCTCTATAATTCGGTGGATTAAAGCCTTCCTCTGCGATCGCGAACAATGTGTCCGGGTGGGAACTTCTATGTCCTCTTGGAAGAAAACAAATGGTGGCTTGCCACAAGGTACAAAGTTGGGTCCATTATTGTTTGCTGTTCTCATTAATTCCTTGCTTAAAAACTGGCCCAGTAGGATCAAGTTTGTGGATGACACCTCAGCCCTAGAGATTATACCACGTTTTTCATCCAGTTTAATGCCATTAGTCGTAAATGAAATCTCGGACTACGCCTTAGAACGTGGAATTGAACTAAATTATAAGAAATGCAAACAAATGTTGATCAACTTTCTTAAATATAAAGGATCTGATGATGAAATCCCGATCTATGTTTCAGGTAAACCGGTGGAAACTGTGTCCTCTTTCAAACTCCTAGGTGTATGGATGTCAAACGACTTGTCATGGAATACTCATGTCGACATGGTATTGAAAAAGGCAAATTCTCGCTTATACGCATTGCGTCTGTTAAAAAAGGCTGGTCTTCAAGCATCTGACATCGTCCAAATATATATCTCATTCATCAGATCCAGAATTGAATATGCATCCCCTGTATGGTCGTCAATACCTAAATCATTATCTGACATTCTCGAATCTGTTCAAAAGAGAGCATTGAGAATAGCTTATCCAGATCTGTTATATGATGAAGCCCTTGAAATTTCAAACTTACAGTATCTGAGTACTCGTAGAGACATCTCTTGCAAGAAATTCGTCGAATCTCTGCGACGTGATGTTTCATCCTACAACCCTTTGACCCAAATTATGGAAATTCGTCCCGGGGTAAAAACTCATGATTATGACTTAAGGAATGACAGAACGGCCGAACAACCTTTATGGTCAGAAACCACTGAACGGTTAAAAAACTTCGTGACTAGGAAATATTATTAGCTTTATAGTTAATTAACAGTCCTAACTAAATAAACATTATTTTATATAATATATATATGTACATTTTAATATAAATTTTTATGCTATATTAGTACTCCATGTAATTCAGTTTTCCTTTAAAAACTGCAAATTGGTTTTAATTAAACAGATTGATTGATTGATTGATTGATTGATTGAACACCGAATATCCCGCATTTTCGTGGCGTCTTGAAGTAGATTGGGCCAGGCTGCATTGGATTACTCGGTATATGCACTTGTTGGGCATAGTGAAACGAATAGTGCATTGTCTTTTCGATTGAGCACGAATTGTGTGTCTCCGTAAAGTCAAATTCTTGTTGAAAAGACGCAAAATTTTCTTTAATTTGCATCTTTACAAGCCTTCCTATAGCGTTCTCGTTCACATTGTCATTAGATTTGGACCCCATTCTCAACGGTGAAAATATATACACTTTCGACAAACAATTTTTATCGGATTCGTATTTGCTCTTGCTATACAGCTAAAAGATAAATCTTTATGAATTATGACTATGAAAAAATACATTAATTAATGCATCAATAAAAACGCACAATCCAATTGGCATGCTTTTTTATACATCCTGTATTGCCATTAAATAGATTGGGGGGGCGAGAGGGACAATGTAATATATTTCAAAGTATAGATTTCGTTGCCAGTAACAAATTCGGGAAGTATCTATATTGCGGTTATAAAATTATTTCGCGTTGATAATAATCAAGCGTTCCCTAAAAGGTATAATTAAATGATTGAGGAGTAACTTGAAAAAAAGGAGACATTTTTCATTATTAGTTTTATAGTGTTGTTATTCATGCGCTTCGTTTTGAAATGCAAAGAAGATGAAGAGGAAGTTTGGAAAGGAGTAAAATCGGCAATTAACAGCAAATGTAGAGCAAACAAGTTCTACAAAAAAAGCTTGATTTCGAACTATATTTTTTTAAAAATAGCCCGTTGCCTCAATTTCAAATATAGCTAAATGAAAAGAAAAAACCTTTCGGCGTTTGAAGGTATATCAAACATATATTGTCAAGAAAATATAGGGCTCACAATGTTTTAGCAAAGTGTTTGAGACCCAGTTGCTTCGCACGTGCTGTTGTCAATTTTTTGCCCAGAATCAAAGGTCGAAAGGTGAACTTCCTTCATGAAAACCGCCTCGAGAATGGTCTAATTTAAAAATATAACTCCTAATTTCGATTTTATGAGAATATTTTGGTTGCACGTTAAATATTAAACCCGGCTTCAGTGTAATTTTGGTGATGAACTGAAAAGAAATGAAGATATAAATTTAAAAACTGGCCGTGACCTCACCGTAACTTTCTAAAAATGTTCTCGGTTTCATGTATTTTTATCTGATATCTTAAGTATAAGCGTAAAAATAGGGGCTCATACAGTTTACAAGGTTATAAAATGCATGACTTGCCTCTATTTTCATGTAAACATTCGAAATGTTTCGACAGCAAATTAGTAGCAACTGTTTCAAATCGAATGCACACGGACAGCACACCTGGGACAATGGCAGAGTACTGAAATAGAAGGACACTAAAAATTATGTATGATTAATTTAGCCTGATCATTTCCATTTTCAACATGAAAAAGTTATTTATTTTGTACCAAACATTTGGCAACATTTACGCAGTTGTCCATTTTTGTAAACACGCGTTGCGTGTATTCGACGCAATTGCGTGGCTCATTTAGCTCGCGTATGCTCAGACAAATTTCCTACTCGTTATTTATCACTCAATTGAATGAACTGAATGAACTATTTTATTCACAGCGGTCAATACCATTAATATATCGCGGCCGCGATATATTAATTCACAGCAGTGAATACAAAAGAAGAGAATTTTAAAGTGTTTTGATTTGCAAATAATATTTGATGTCATGCAATTTTTAAATTTTCAACACACATTGGTAAGTTCAAGACATGTGTGATTTACAGTTGTATGTTGTTACATTGCAATTCTGTAACGTGCACCCTTGAAAATTGTTTGCAATCGCATATGATGTGGACGTGTATTATAGTGGCGTCGTGAATGACCTCAATAGCTTCGAAATGGACAATGGATGGGAAAACCCATTAAATTAAACATATCATCATGCCCCTATCACATAATCATGCGCCTACATATATTGTTCTTTTCTGGAACCCCCTCAAGCAGATTTCAACTTTTCTTGTCAAATTCTCCATTAAAGTTATGTAGATGTTCCATACTTTCAATAAGTATAGTTTGCTTCATACATTGCAT